CATCACCAACATCATCAACATCATCAACAGCATCAACAGCATCAACATCATCATCGTCATCATCATCATCAGCAGCAGCAGCATCCTCATCTTCATGATCAGCATCACCATCAGCGACATCAGCATCATCATCAGGATCAGCAGCAGCAGCATCATCAACAGCATCATCCTGATCATCATCAGCATCAGCATCGTCATCATCATCATCATCAGCATCATCATCAACATCAGCATCAGCATCAGCATCATCATCATCATCATCATCATCAGCAGCAGCAGCATCATCAGCCTCATCGTCATCATCATCATCAACATCGGCGTCAGCAGCATAACCATCACCAGCCTATAATCACCATCATCATCATCGTCATCATCAGCACCAGCATCATCATCATCCGCATCATCATCGTCATTATCATCGTCAGCATCAGCATCATCATCAGCAGCATCAGAATCGGCATCATCAGCATCAGCATCAGCATCATCATCAGCATAGTCATCATCACCACCACAATCAGCATCAGCATCATCAACATCATCAGCAGCATCAGCATCAGCATCAGCATCATCATCATCATCATCATCATCATCATCATCATCATCATCATCATCATCATCATCATCATGATCATCATCATCTGCAGCAGCATCATGATGCTCATCATCATCATCATCATCATCATTACCAGCATCATCAGCAGCATGACCAGCATCATCATCAGCAGCATAAACTTCATCATCAGCATCCTCAGCATCATCATCATCATCCACATCCTCATCATCAGCAGCAGAGCAGCGACATCATCATCATCATCATCATCATCATCATCATCATCATCACCACCATCATCATCATCATCATCATCATCAACAACAACAGCAGCATCAGCATCGTCATCATCATCATCAGCAGCATCATAATCAGCATCATCATCATCATGATCATCATCAGCATCGTCATCAACATCATCATCGTCAGCATCATCATCAGCAGCAGCATCCTCAGCATCATTGGCACGATCATCATCACCATCCGCATCAATACCATAATATCACCATAATAGCATCAGCATCATCAGCATCAGCATCGTCAGCATCAGCATCAGCATCATCAGCATCATCATACTTTCATCAACATCATCATCAGCAGCATCATCATCATCATCGTCACCATCGCCAGTATCATGATCCTCATGAGCATCATCATCGTATTCATCTTCAAAGGCATCAGCATCCGCATCAGCATCATCATCAGCAGCAGTATCATCATCAGCATCATCATCAGCATCATCATCAGCATCAGCATCATCAGCATCATCATCATCATCATCATCACTGTCATCCTGCTCCTGATCCTCCTCCTCCTCCTCATTATCATCCTCGTCCTCCTCCTGATCCTCCTCCTCCTCCTCCTCATTCTCATCCTCGTCCTCCTCCTCGTCCTCCTCCTACTCGGCCTCCTCCTCCTCCTC